CCCCCCCCATAGGATATCCAGACCCCTCAACAGGGAGGGGGAGGCAGCTTATATTAAATTGAATGGCCCATTCAAAGTCCTGGCACATCAGCGAAGGTATAATAAAAACAATTATGGTAGACGAAATTGTACTTAAAACTTTGTTATTCTTTGTATTCTATTCTTTAAAATATTGTCTTTGTATACAGGGATGGATCCAGCATGATCTGGTAGGAGGGGGGGGGGGTGCTCTGGTGCCGACTACCAAGTTGTGTTGGTCATGTGTGCCGCCCGCCCATGAACTACTGTATTTGAATTGTAATTGTTGTTCACAGTTCACTAGGGCTAGGGGGGGGGGGGCACCCCCCAGTAAATCCATCCCTGTTTGTATATTCAGTGTAACACCTCTGTGTAACATTATTCTGCAGTGTATAAACATTATTCATGTATGATTATTCATATGTCATCTGTGACTCAATTTCCATTTTAGTAAATGACATACTTTTTTGTAGTTTCCTAGCAGAAAGATCAGGCTGACTCCTTCAAAGAAGTCACCAGCGAAAAAACATAAATGGACCTTTGAGGAAAATAAAGCTTTGATCTAGTTATGGAAAAATTTTGTCCATAATAAAATATAATAACAACAATTTACGATATCCTAGTAATCTATGTCACTGTTATAATCGTAGGGATCCATAATAAAATATGTAGGGGTCCATAATAAAATAAAATAACAACAATTTACAATATACTTCTTGTGTGTGTTGGTGTTATGTACTCAGGTGAATATGATGTTTGTGATGTTACTCTGAGTGTGCATCCACACTGAGCCGTGCTCAGTTGGTAGAGCATTGGACTAATATCCCAATGATCGCAGGTTCGATTCCCACCGTGGTCAGGCAAACTTTTCAGCTTGCCCGATGTGCATGCACACTCAGAATAACATCACAAACATCAATTTACAATGTAGGGATCCATAATAAAATAAATATGTAGGGATCCATCATCCATAATAAAATAAAATAATTTACAATATTCTAGTAATATATGCCCCTGTTATAATTGTTTCTTGGATCATCTCTGTCCCATGGTCCACTTTTCACAATCAACAATGCTGTACTGTAGAGTAATATCCACCAAGCACACAGATTATTAAATGATGAAGAAATATGTATTTTTAATTTTTTCCCCAAATAATCACCTATGAAATTGTACTAAAACAATTATTCGCCTCAGGCTCGGTGGTTATTGTTAAATGAAAACTTCGACTTTGTCTCTGTCCCTACTCGTCGATAATCACCTAACCTTCGGCGAAAAATTGTTACTTATTTCTGTTTTCTATATTTATATTGATATTGTGTAAAGGGCCCACTGTAATTGGTGTTAAGCTGTTGTGGTGTCCCAGCT